AGAGAGAGAGAGAAACATCAATGTGAGAGAGACACATCTATTGGTTCCCTCCTGCACATGCCCAGACTGGGGCCGGAGATGGAGCCTACAGCCCAGGGACAGGTATGTGCCGTTGACCAGAATCAAACCTGAGACCTTTTAGTCCGAGGGCTGATGCTCTAACCACTGAGCCAACCTGCTAGGGCCTTAATGACCCCTTTTAAAGATCCTTTCTCCCAACGCCTTACATTCTGAGTTCCTGGGGATCAGGATTTCAACGGATGGATTCTGGGGGACACAGTGTGACTGTCCCAGTTCCCATCACTCATTTTTTTTATTGCTTTTGACTAATTTTTAAAAAAAATATATATCTTTTAATTGATTTCAGAGAGGAAGGAGAGAGAGAGAGAGAGGAACATCCATGACGAGAGAGAATCACGGACCGGCTGCCTCCTGCACGCCCCCCACTGGAGATCGAGCCCGCAACCCGGGCATGTGCCCTGGGCCAGAATCGAACCCGGGACCCTTGGGTCTGCAGGCCGATGCCCTACCCGCTGGGACTTGCTTCAGACCAAGTCTACGTGCCCATGAAAGTCCCTCGAAGGCTGAACTTTCATTTCCATCAAGGAGGGAATGGAATGCACCCTCGCCCACACCCCCTGCGTCTCTATGCTTGCAAAGGGACCCCCTCCGGCTGAGGGCACTGGCACAGAGACGACTTGGGTGAGGCCAGGAATTGGGGGAGCCCAGGGCTGGGCGCCTCAGCAAAGCCCTGCAAAAGGCCGGGAATGGCCTCAGTTATATGGCAGCTGCATCGTTGTCTCTTGAGAAGGGGGGTGATGGGCAGTGGAGCGAGTCTTTGATGCCCCATTATAGGCTCAGTGGAGCTTGGGGAAAGCATTGAAATCAAGACAGAGAGAGAGAGAGAGAGAGAGAGAGAGAGAGGAATTTCCTTTCAAGCATTCACATGCAACCGCCAACAGCCACCAGGGACAGAGCTTTCCGTTTTGGGGGACAATAGAAGGATTTGCATAATCTGTGTGAATGCTGGATTCCTCCATCGCCAGGCGGGGGCCAGGCAAGGGCTATGGGTGGGGTCCCAGTGGCATTATTCCAGGTTCACCCACCACCCGGGCCCTCGGGGGAGGGCTGCTGTGTTTTCGAGAAAGATTGCCTCCTTTTAAAAGGAACTTCTCACCAGCCACATGCGATTCCAACACATTCGCGGCTCGGAAAACTCACTCCAACTCTATATCCTATCCTGTTGCTTTTATCCCTTAATATATTTTTTTTTTTAAAGAAAGCTCTTGCCTTTCTTATTTTAAAATATATTTTATTGATTTTTTACAGAGAGGAAGGGAGAGGGATAGAGAGTTAGAAACATCGATGAGAGAGAAACATCGATCAGCTGCCTCCTGCACACCCCCCACTGGGGATGTGCCCGCAACCAAGGTACATGCCCTTGACCGGGAATCGAACCCGGGACCCTCCAGTCCCCAGGCCGACGCTCTATCCACTGAGCCACACCGGTTAGGGCTGTTATTATTATTTTTAAAAATATTTTTATGGATTGCTTTCAGAGAGGAAGGGAGAGGGGGAGAGAGAGACAGAAACATCCATGATGATGAAGCAGGATTTTTGGACTGGAACCAGGATTCTCTGTCCGCCGGAGTCGAAGAATGAGCCCCTGGGCAGAAGGAGTTGGAGCAAAGGCGGAGATTTATTGAAGAACAAGGACAGACTCCCACGTGGGGAGGGGGAAAGGGTCCCCGGACTTCCTGTTTCCATGGTTTATAAAGGCTGCACTTTCCGACACGCCCTCTGATTGGTCAATATCCCCTTCACCATCCTCCCATTCCTCCTGGGTGTTCTTCCTCCTTCTTTATTTTACAAATATAGACATTTTTTTTTTTGGCTACTTCCAGTTCCCTCGTCTTAGGTAAATGCAACTGTGGTTGCTCCCTGCACCTGGCTTCCTTGTGTTACGGAGACGTACCGTCTCCCTGTCTGTAGCCCTATTTTTTTCCACGGACCCCAATTCTAAAAAATTCCCTGAACCTGCCCGTAGTCCCCTAAAATTCCTGTTTCAATGAGAGAGAATCACGGACCAGCCGCCTCCTGCACGCCCCCCACTGGGGATGGAGCCCGCCACCCGGGCATGTGCCCTTGACCGGGAATCGAACCCTGACCTCCTGGTTCATAGGTCGACGCTCAACCACGGAGCCGCGCGGCCGGGCGGAATTCCTGTTTATTGCTGGTTCATCTCCTCTGGCCGTACCTCACAGTGGGCTCTGTTCCGCGTGGAAACCTCTGGGGATTGGTCCCTGTGAAAACCCAGCTACCAGATGTGGACTCGATCCCTCGGGAGGTAAGCAAAGATCAGGTGGACACAGATGACAGGATCCGTGTCCAAAGAATAAACGGTGCCCTGGCCTCCTCGCTGAATGTCATAGAATTATCTCCCCAAAGGGCAGCGCTCCCATTTCCAGAAAAACATTTATAGAGATATAAAAGCCTAATATGCAAACTGTCCCCGCGGGAGTTCGACCGGAGACCGATCGCTCGTTATGACGTGAGCTGACCACCAGGGGGCGGCATGGAATGAAGGAAGGACACAGGTGGCAGCCTGCAGCTGGGAAAGGGAGGGCCTCTGTCGGCTCTGATCGCCGGCCCTACCCATGCACGAATTTCATAATTTCATGCACTGGGCCTCTATTTAAATTCTAATACCCGTTATGTTATTTTTTTTTTTTTCAGCATCGAATCTCAGCATCGCCACTAAAACCAACCAAAACATCACCACACAAATGTGCTAAGAGGATTTTTAGCGACGTGGGGCTTCCCTAAGCTCTGAATGTTAGCACTCTGAGATGAAAATGTTTACATTCAAAGGTGGCCAGTCCCCAGTAGGAGGCGGGCAGGAGGCAGCCGATCCATGATTCTCTCTCCTCGTGGATGTTTCTCTCTCTCTCCCTCTCCCTTTCTCTCTCTGAAATCAGCAAAAACATACTTTAAAAAAAACAATGAAGTTGATCTTTCTTGAAAATTCTTTGAACGCCTCCTTAATCTTGCCGGGTAAAGAGAGATCTCGGACGAATTTCTCACGCATGCCACGCCCCTCGATACCCTACGCTTCGTGAGCCCTGGATATCCATCTGCCTTAGAGAAACAGCCGGCTCCAGGCGTCACGCCCTG